CATCGAAAGAGTCAAAACTTTTCTCTATTTTATCTTTTGACACAGTTAAATTTTATTTTTATGATCATGCGTTCTCGTTTTTGTTTTATTTTATATCATACATAAGTAAAACTGTAAGAGTCACAAATCGACTGAAAACACCATAATAAGCAGTAATTTACTATATAAAAGGCAATCTCAAGGTTTAATAATATCACTTTAGATTATAATCCAAGCTCTTGTAGTAGTAACTAATAAGTAGTTTCAGATGATAAAACGTTAGATACTTTTTGAAAAATTTATAATGTTTTGTTAATTCAAGTTGCTAGTGTTGAAGGGAAATCGGCCAATTCATACCTCAACAGAGGAACGCGGTTCTGATGCGTACATCACCTGATGATATGTGTTAAAACATACATCAACGTCGATTTATTTTAAATTTTATACACGAATTAATAAAAATAGGCTAAATCATATATTGACTTATTTTCTGTTAGTCAAACGTTTATAGATGATGACATGTTATTAACAAAAACTTACGTAGCGCTGAATTGTCTATTATAATTTAAAATAATAAATAATAATGCCCAAAATTAATTTAACAAATCTGTATGAGGAGAGATTCGAACACTAGTTGATTCAGTGAATAATGTAATGCCCAACCACTGTGACAAACCAATACATTGTTTATAATGTCTTCGGTTTAACATATATCTCTAATAAAAATTAATTTAACATAACAGAAACATGGGACTTTTGAACCTTGGTCGAATCAATGACTAATGTAACACCCAACCACTGTGACAACCCAATAACTTTTTATATTTTCTATGGTTTAAAATATATCTCTAATAAAGAGAGAGAGAATATTCCATAAATACACCTTAACTAAATCTCGTTAAACTTTTTAATACCTAAAATTTTTTGCTACCCAATTTAATATCTCAACTAATAATTTTCCCATTTTAATACCCAAACTTTTATAATTCTGTCTATTTTAATACCTAAACTATATTTATTTTAATGAAAATACTAATAAATTTCCAACAAAATTTAAGAAAAAAATCTCTAAAGTCTAAGAAAAAATATTTAAAATTTCTAATATTAATTGAAGATTTAAGAAAGAATGTAAATAAACTCTAGAGAAAATTTTTTAAAATTAAATTTGAAGGAAAACAAATTTATTTATTTTTTTTTATTGTAAAAAAATAAATAAATTTAATATTTAAAAATAAAGAAACTTATTTCAAAATTTAACACTATACAAAATTTATTTACTTTTTTATCAACACAAAATAAAATTAGATTTTTTTTTTGTAAAATTTAAAGATTTTTAAAATTTCATTTGAAACTTATTAATATTTTTCATTAAAATAAACAAAGTTTGGGTATTAAAATGTGTACATTTATAACATTTTGGGTATTAAAATGGGAAAAATAATTAGTTGGGGTATTAAACTATGTAGCGAAAAAAATTGAGTATTAAAAAGCTTATTGAAATTTAGTTGGGATTCAACATTTTCGAAAAATTCTTGAGAAAACTACTATTCAACTTTTGTTTTAAGCTAGCTGACATGTTCGTTTGCGACCCAAAAATCCATCAGTTGAAAAACGAAAAAAAACAAAAACAGAGAAATGAATGAGATTTGAGGAAGATTGAATTTAAAAAAGTTACATTTCTTTCTAGAATCCATCCAGCTTTTAAAGAGAGAAGGGAAAAGAAATATCAAAACTAAATATTATTTGAGATATATAGTAAATCATAGAGAAGACAAACAAGGAAAAGATGTGTCATAGTGGTCAAATTTTACAAAAGTCAATGAGTCATCCAGGGTTCGAATCCCCTCTGCAACATATTTGCCAGAAATGTTTTGTTTTAAATAATTATAATAGAAATGTTTTGTTTTAAATAATTATTATTGTAAATTATAATAGACAGCTCGTTTCAAATAATTATTATTGTAAATTATAATAGACAGCTCAGCGCTATGTAAACTTCCGTTAATGACATGTCATCATCTATAAACGTTTGACTAACGGAAAAATGTCAATGTATAATTTAGCCTAATTTTATTAGTTTGTGTATGAAATTTAAAATAAATCAATATTGATGTATGTTTTAGCACAAGCCATCAGTTGATGTACTGATCAGGATCGCAACCTTCTATTGATATATGAATTGGCTGATATCTCCTAGTGTTGAGTCAATGTTGAGTTGGCCTAGTGATAAAAGAAGAGTATTTGTATTTCATACACACACAAAACCTCTTATTTAACTCCATATCCTATTTTTCCCATTTCTCTCCTCCCCCGTCACTACTTTTTCTCCTTAAAATATGGCAAATCCCTAAATACCTTCTTCTTTTGGTATATTGGGCTAAATCACTCATAAAAGAATTGCAACTGTAGTTTTCGCTCTTGGGTTCAATTCATGTTGGGAAATACTATTTATAATGCTTGGATTCCCGGCATAAAGGTGAAACCATATTTTTTTTTGCACCACGAAAAAAGTTGCTAGTGTTGAAATAGGCCAAACAAAAGGTGCTAGTGATCTTATCCATTTCACGGTGACACGTGTTACACTGGGGAAAGCTTCCAGTAACGTGATATATTTGTTTTCTACTTTTTTTGCCAAGGGATATATTTGTTTTCTTGTATCATTAGTCTTTTTCCATTTAGGGCACTAAATACCCATAAACAGCTAATTAAGTTGATATCACATCGTATTAAACTGTTAATGAACATTTTTAATTGATGCATATGACACACCCGAGAATGTCATTGCTTCAAGATTAGGAGACATGTCGGCAGTGCTAAACTCCTGTTTAGGCAATGCATGATCACGGGTAACGTAAAACATATTTACGTTGAGCTTGACTCGTTATTTATCTGTTTTTTTTTACTTTGCTCCGCTACTCTTCGGTTTGTTTCATTGCCTTTAGATTTTAGAATTTGTTGTTAGTTTAATTATCGTATGTATATTCCGCTACAAGTTATCTTTATAATAATGTTTCTCAAAATTTTTAAAATTGATATCATAATTTAACATTTCATAAAAAAAAATATATATAGTAAAAGACCATAAAAGAAAAGGAACAACTTAATCTATAAGTTGTATTTATAATGTTTCTCAAATTTGAAAATTGATATTATAATTTAGCATTTTATAAAAATATATAGTAAAAGAGCATAAAAGAAAATAAAATATAAAATATCAACGTTAAATAAGTTTTTTTAACACGCAAAATAAGTAATAGTTTGATGAGGGGTTAACGTGCTATATTAATTACTGCTTATGCTAATTTTATAAATGCGTAGTATATCTTATATATAGAGCTTAGCTGATTGAGAAAAAAAATGTTGATGTATAGAAAATGCTTAGGTGTATTTTGGAACCTTAATCATATGCTTGAATGTGCGTCGACGTATAATTTTGTTTTATTTAATGATGTTTTGTGAGATTTAAATAAATACATGTAGGCCCATAAGACAGAAGGCATGGTTTGTCAATTACATAAATCGAAAGGGCAACTTAATAAAGTCAAATATATGCAGCTCTTCGTTTAGGCGAATTCATTTTCTTGAATAGGTAGAAATGGAAAAGTGGAAGTTAACAATAATAGTGAAAATGTGTTAAGGTTTGGGCTTCCAACTTTAGATGATGAGTTAATTAAGCTTTTCATGCATGAGCTGGATCCACGCATCAAGGGAACTTTGGACCCACTTTCTTCCCAATTATACTAACTTCAGTACCCTATATTTTCAAAGAATTGAAAACTAAACCCTCATCTTTCACTACCTAACAAAATAACTAACAAGCTGGAGCTAATATCAGAAATACCATCCATATGTCTCCCAATTTACTAATGATTTTTTTCTTTTACTAATGAATCTTTACAATTCATCTTAGGAAAATTATGAATTATAATCTATCAACAGCGTAAACAAACTTTTATAGTTTCAAACAAAAAATAATAAATCTATAAAAATATAAAGTGTAGTATATATGCAAGTATGTAATAAAACGAAATATAAATAATAAATCTATTAAAATATGAAGTGTAGTATACATATATGCAAGTATGCAATAAAAAGAAATATATCTCTTCATATAATATATAAATAATCAAATTGCAAAATTCGAGTATAAAAAAAAATATGGATCTAAAATGAAAATGAATAAATAAATGGTCTAATTGATGAGAAAGTTGAAAAGTAAAGGGGCATGGCAGCTCTGCATTTACAAAAAGACATGTTTGTATCATTGTATTGTATGTAGCTAATCATATAAGACCCTTTTAATAATTAGCTTTACTCTATCTCTGTGATTAAAATAACAGAGGGATGGAGCTCTAAGGTGAGACAAAGCCATGTCTTCTTCAACTTCCTAAGTCTCATCTCACCTTCTCTCTCTCTAACACTTTTTTTTTTAATTTTCCTTTTTTGTACCAAAACTTGTTTCAATCGAATCAATTTCCCATCTTTCCTTCTGGGTATATATTCCTTTTATCCAAAGCCTCTTACTTTGATGAATCCTCTTCACGCAAGAGGACCCGGATCGAGTTCCGGTAAGAATCAAGGCGGTGAATCGGTGGTGGAGATGTTTCCTTCGGGTCTTCGAGTTCTTGTCGTTGACGATGACCCAACTTGTCTTATGATCTTAGAGAGGATGCTCAGGACTTGTCTTTACGAAGGTTTGAAATTCACAAAGACAACATCTTTTTTTTTTCTTTGGTTTGGTTTAGTTAATTTGATTGTGTCTTGTCTTCTTCCCCTAATGATGGGTTATGTTATGTCGTTGACTTTGCCTATAAATAGAATTTTTTTTTTAAGATTCACAATATTTAGATCATGTCTTAGAGATCCGCTGTTAAAAAAGGATGTAAATCTGAGAGTCTCTAGCTTTGACTTGAGTTTGGTTTTAACTGTCAATTTCAAAGAGGAGATCTTTGTTTGTTAGTTAAGAGACTTAAAACAGTTCTTGTCTTAATTTGAATTAATGAATTTCTCTTTGTTTTCAGTAACGAAATGCAACAGAGCAGAGCTGGCATTGTCACTACTCCGGAAGAACAAACATGGATTCGATATTGTAATCAGTGATGTTCACATGCCTGACATGGACGGCTTCAAGCTCCTTGAACATGTTGGTCTTGAGATGGACTTACCTGTTATCAGTAAGTTTTTAATCATTAAACCTCCGGAAAAGTTTGAATCTTTTTTTGTGTACTAACAAAGGATCTGTTTCAACTCAGTGATGTCTGCGGATGATTCAAAGAGTGTGGTTCTTAAAGGAGTAACGCACGGTGCTGTTGATTATCTAATCAAACCTGTACGTATGGAGGCGCTTAAGAATATTTGGCAGCACGTGGTGAGGAAGAGAAGGACGGAGTGGAACGTACCTACACATTCTGGGAGCGTTGAGGAGACTGGAGAGAGGCAACAGCAGCAACAGAGAGAAGGTGTTTCTGAAGATGGAGGGGATGATAACTCTTCATCTGTTAACGAAGGGAATAATAACTGGAGGAGCAGCGGCAGCTCGAGGAAGAGGAAAGAAGAGGAAGGAGAAGAGCAAGGGGATGATGATGCTTCCAATTTAAAGAAACCACGTGTTGTCTGGTCTGTTGAATTGCATCAACAGTTTGTTGCTGCTGTGAATCAGCTCGGCGTTGAAAGTAAGACTTAAAAAAGCTTCTTCGCATTTGCGTTTTTTGAGTCTGAATGATCTTTATATGGTGCAGAGGCGGTGCCTAAGAAGATCTTGGAGCTGATGAATGTTCCTGGACTAACCAGGGAGAACGTAGCCAGCCACCTCCAGGTATAAAGCCTTAATACTGCATACCAGAATGACCTGACCATATATGTTTTCTTACCGGCGCGTCGTGTTGGTTTTGCAGAAATACAGAATATATCTAAGACGGCTTGGTGGAGTATCACAGCACCAAGGCAACTTAAACAACTCGTTTATGACGGGTCAGGACGCAAGCTTTGGTTCTCTTTCCCCATTGAACGGGTTTGATCTTCAAGCGCTAAGTCAGCTTCCTGCTCAGAGCCTTGCACAGCTTCAAGCAGCTGGTTTAGGCCGGCCTACTATGGTCTCTAAGTCAGGGTTACCTGGTTCCTCCATTGTGGACGAGAGAAGCATCTTCAGCTTTAAAACACAACCGCAAATGAACTTGCTCCACGGTGTCCCGACCGGTATGGAACCAAGACAGCTTCCTATTGGTAATAGAATGACTATTCAACAACAGATTGCAGCTGTTAGAGCAGGACATAGTCTTCAGAACAGCGGTATGCGGATGCCTCTAGCGGCTCAGCAGCAGCAGCCGTTTCCCAGGCCACAATCATCCATCAGGCAGACATTGTTACCAAACCGTGTTGTTTCTGAGAGAAGTGGTTTCTCGGGGAGAAGCAGTATCCCGGAGAGCAGCAGAGTGTTACCTACAAGCTACACAAACCTCGCAACTCAACAACACTCGTTGGCTTTCAGCAACTTCCAACAAGAACTCCCTGTGAGCAGCTTCCCGCTTGCTAGTGCACCAGGCTTATCTGTTCGGAAACCACTTGTTTCTTCTTCTTCTTACCAAGAAGAGGTTAACAGCTCGGAAGCAGGTTTCACTTCACTTAGCTACGACATGTTCTCAAGCAAACAGAACGATTGGGATCTGCGGAGTGTACTTTCCCCTCATCAAGAAGCCTACCCTTCTTCCTCCATGTCAAGAAACAACAACACAGCGGTTGCAGCCACAGATCATACCCGGAATCACCAGCAGCAAACACCGCAAGGCATGGTCTCACATCATCAGGTTTATGGAAACGGAGGGAGCAGTTCAATGAAGGTGAAGTCAGAGACAATGGCGTTCCACGAGCAGTATAGTAATCAAGAAGATCTTATGAGTGCACTTCTTAAGCAGGTTTGAACGCACATCACAACTCTTTTAACATTAGAGTTTGCGTTCCAAAATGAACAACAAGCTGTTGTAACTTGAAAACATAACTTAAAACACTAATCTTGTGTGGGTTGATACAGGAAGGAATTGGACCGGTTGATACTGAGTTCGACTTTGACGCATATTCGCTCGATGATATCCCGGTTTGATTGGATTAAAAGCTGATTAAACCGAAGGGACTACGTACCGGGAGTAGTATTGTATCATTACAAGACCATCTGCAGTATAACCTGGTTGCTGAAATGTGATATAATCTGCGTGAAATTTTAAGGGCGGATTGTATCAGAAAATTGTTTTGTATTACTATTGATTTTTTCTTTTGGTTTATGTTAGGAGTTAATATGTTACTACTCTCCTTGAAGATTCTTTTGGTCCTTATGTAAGTACTGAGGCTGTTTAGGGTTTTCTTGTTATTCTAACTTTGTGATAATAAGACTGTCTCTCTTAGTCGTTGTTCCTGGTCTGTCTTCACCTTTTTTGTTTTTAACTGTTTTTAAAAAATAGTGCATAGCAGCAGTAGATTTTGTAAAATATCTGGTTAGAAAGAATCAAGAACACTGTATATTTTTACAGCCACTCAGTAAGTTCATATGTTTTTGTAACATATCTTTTAGGTCTATGTTGTGTGGCCTTGTCACACAGCTCAAGACATTGGAGAAGTCAAACTCCTCCATAGTATTTTCCTTGTACAAAGAGGATTATGACTTATGATTTTCGATTGTAACCTGCATCGTCCAGTAACTCGATGGTTACTTCAGCAGACAATTTGAATTTTCTGGTCCAACCATCTATTCTCGAAATTCAAAATCAAATGAGCGGGGACGGCACTGGACCAAAAATTTTTAAAAAAACTAAAGTGGTGCTGATAGAGAATCAATCACGACCAACTCTCAATAATGCAATGAAAGGACTAAAAATTCAAAACACCTTTTACTTAATTAAATTGTCTTGCTCTCTCAAAACTGAAATTTCATTAGCGAATGAACACATAACATTAGTGGGAACCAAATAAAAAAAAAAAGACATCACTAACCATTACACACTCATACACATTTTTCCCCTCTCTATCTAATTAAAATTAATTAATCAAAACCTCACACTTCAATTTATTCATCGCTTATGAATAAACAGAGCCACAAGAGAGCGCCATGAGAAGCACAGCGGCTCTCTCTTCCTCTCCGAGTTTCTTCCACAGCCTCTTCTTCTCAACCGCCGATCTCTTCATCACAGGAACTTTAAACCCTAAATCCAAATACTTACTCACTCCTTCGCTGCTACTATTAATTCCACTCGAATCATCATCAGCTTTCTTGACGTTTCGATCTTCAAAGCTGAGATCACTATCACTGCTACTGCTTTTTCTGCTTCTCTTCTTCTCTTCTGGTTTGATTCCGAGAGCCGCTTGCCTCCTCTTCCTGCTTTTGATCCCACAAGCATTGCACAATGACTGCATAGAACAAAAAAAAAACATACATTAAATTCAGACAAGTGAAAATATTACAAGACACATAGTCAGATTCGGACAGTGATCAAGAAGACTGACCTTAGGTCCAGCAGGGCCACCACGCCAAAGAGGAGTTCGGAGTGTTCCGCAATCAACGCAAGTCCTCTTCGTCTCGCCGACACCGACACTTCCACTGCTACTGCAGTTTTCGTTATCAACATCTGATAACTCTCCGGAAGAATCGACCTTTGCTGATGATCGGTTATCGGACATTTTTATTTGAAAAGGCTGATCGGAGCTGAGAGCAGTTTTTGATGATAAGGAGAGGAGAGGAGAGAGAGGGATCACGGGGAATGGTAAAACAGACGGAGAGGTGTTTTATAGTTAAAGGAAGAAGGCGGGGGCGGAAAACCCTAGGATTTCGGGGGTGGATAATTTACTTAATTGCCCTCGCGCGGGAGCTTTTACTACGTTGGGGGGCCACCCACCCGTGATGATCTTAAAAACACAAAGACGAGGGAAGTTCAAATTTAATTTGTTTTCTTCTCTTCTACCGCCGCATTCGAATAAAAAGTGGCGCACATTGTTTGCGACTTTTAAAGTAGGTCCTTGTTTTTCTTCTTCTTCTTTGTATGTGTGAAAATGAATCATAAAAAATTATTAAAGTTATATTTTTATGTTTTTCTTCTTCGTTCTTTTTTAAAGAAAAATAATGAATCATAAATTTGTGTTAAGAAAATGAATCATAAAAAATATTTTAATTATTAAATTATAACATTTTCTAAATGCATAAAAATATAACTTTAATATTTTATAGACAAATTAGTTATTTTAGACTTTTTGTATGTGTGATAACGACAAAGTATAGGCAGAATCAGCAAATGACAAGCTATCCAAACAATTGGTTAGGGTATATGAAAATAGTTATCATTTATAAATTATAATCAAATTTGTGATAAAATTAGAATTTTCCAATTCATAGATAATTGTTTATATAATTTTTCTCTCTTCTTCCAACTTTTAGTTTCAACCCTCTCTCTATTACTCTCTACTTATACTACTCTAACAGCTCACAAATCAACGATTATCCAAAATAGATAATAGCTTCCACACAAACAAACAAAAGCTCAATGTCACATATTCGAAACAACTAAACAAATAGACGTGAAACCATAGACAAGACTCGACCATAAATATTCTCCATGAAAGAAGACAGGTTTGTGGATCTAACGATCAAGTCTTTACTCAATGAAAGTTGCTTCTCATCATCTCTTGGTCTTCTTGGATCATCCTCGTTCGTGTTTAGCTTTATCTTCGCATCTCCCTAAAGTACAACCACAAATTTTCTTTCTTCAACAAAAACTTTTTTTCAGTTTCCCCTCCCAAAAAAGTGTTTGGTTTCTTTTATGCAGCCACTTTTTCACTTACTGTACTTGCCGTTGCGTGACCTTCAACCTGAAAATTGAACTTAAAATTGTTAGACTCTTTGCTTTTTAGTTCCGGATTGGGATCTGTTGCTTTCTGTTAACCGTGTGATTAAAAGAGGTCTCTGATCCATTGCATGTATGTGTGTGTTTTGGAAAAAGTTTTTAGAATCTTTTGCTTTACCTTGGCTGCTTTGAACAGTTCGTCTACAACCTCAGACAATGTTGGATGCGCATGAACTGCCAATTTTATGTCCTGCAGAGATAGCAGTAACCATGCAAGGATCAAGAACTAGAACCAAAATGGATGTAATCAAGAACTAAGAGTATCGAAGATCCTACCTGAATGCGTGTTCCTAGAGCAATGGCATTAGATGCTTCATGGATGAGGTCAGCAGCATGCAGTCCAAAGATATGAACTCCTAGAATTTCACCGTTGTCAGGTCGGTATATCATCTGCATAAATGCCCACGATGAGATCTCTTTCTTCTTTCATGAACCATATATAATCCACTTATCTTTTCTTCCCCTTACCTTAGCTATTCCTTCTCCTTCGTTTTCAGCTAGGGCCTTTGTGTTAGCCTTGAAGCTTGTCTTGGCAACACTAACTTTAAATCCTTCCTTCTCGCCTTTCTCTCTTGCTTGTGGCTGGAAACCGCAGAAATTTTGTTACAGCAAGCATATTGCCTAATTACATTTTTCTTTCTGACTGTCTACAGTGCAAAAGGATCTAGAATTACCTCTGTCAATCCCACCATGCTAATTTCCGGATGAGTAAAGCAAGCAGCTGGGATGCTTAGATGATTAAGCACATGATCTCTTCCGGTGACTTGCTCAACCACTAGCCACAGAGTAAAAGCAGAAAGTTTAATAGAAGGGCCAAGCAGAAAAAAAATAAAACTATTCACTGCATTTATAGTGAATAGGCTTTAGACAAGCTATTTACCAGATATTCCTTGGGCACTGGCTGCATGTGCAAGCATGAGTTTACCATTGGCATCACCGATGCAGTACAAGTTTGGAACCTTTGACGCAGAGATGAATTTAGCATATAGAAGGAATCGCTGGAAAGAATGTAAATAAAACCTACCAGTTTCCCATTTCCGTCGATCACACGCATTCGCTCATCAACCGGTATGAAACCTCTCTGCGTCACGACATTGACCTGTTTGAAATGACAGCTTCATAGTTATCTTTTTGAAGACCAAATATATTCGCAGGTAACCAAAATGATGATACTATCATAATAAGGGTGGTGAGAGTTAGTGTCATCTCATACATTTTCCAAGCCAAGACCATTGGTGAACGGAGCTCTTCCTGTAGCAATAAGAGCAGCATCTACCTGGAGACAGAACAAATCAACAGAGATAAACCAAATGGGTGAAAATATTCTCGTTGTGAGACATCAGATCTCACTATCTTTATATGACATTGTGTTACCTCCAATGTATCCTTATGTTCTTTGGTTTTGGCATCAATAAGCTCAATCATAACTGGTTTCCCATCCTTTGCGGGAGTAATCTGTACAAGAATAAATTTAAATTTTAAAGATGAATAGATATGGCACATTGCAAAGAGAAAGAAACGCAATATTTAGAAAGCATGATTTAACAGGCTCACTTTGCTAGCAAAGACACCGGTGTGATAGTCAATATTTCTAGGATTTATCAAAACCCTCTGAGCTAGCTTACTGATCTCAGGATCAAATCCAGGCATTAGCTGATCCAGTGCTTCGATAAAAGTTACCTGCAAAATCAGATGTCCCGGTTTTGGTCAGTAAGTTTTGTTGTAAGGTAAAGTAAACTTAAAGAAGCAAAAATAGAAATGGCACTTTTCAAATCTAGATCAAGAAGCCAATAAATTAGTTTAAAACCACCTCTAAATGCTATTTTCACATTAGCAAGCTCAATATATAGTAATAAAGTAAAGACAAAAAAATACAAAAAATGGAAAAGATTGTAAAGTTTTAGATTTACAGGTGCAAAAATCATGTTACCTCACTTCCAAGTGCTGTGTAAACATCACTGAACTCAAGACCAATGTAACCACTCCCTACAATTGCAATCCAATCAGGGACAGACTCCAACTTCAAGGCATGGTCACTGGTGATCACCGTCTTTCCTGCAACACCAATTTAAACACAGAAGGATTTCAAGCCTACTTGCACCAAATAAAAAATAGGAGAGATTTTTCAGGCTTCTCCCGTAACAACAAAAAAGGCATGTACCATCAACTTCAATTCCTTTGGGCACAAAAGGCACAGATCCAGTGGCAATGATTATATTTTTTGCAGTGATAATATTGTCCTTCCCATATTTAACCTTTTGTGGGCCCTTCAGAAATACAAAACTTCAAAAGAGTTAGAATCCTGTGATCCTGTCTACTGTAGTTAGTCAAAGGTGAAGAAAAGGATGTACTGACCAGAACACTGCCAAATCCTGTCAAAATGTCAACACCAAGTGCTTTCATTGAATTGGTGAGATTGTTTCGAATTTTGGTAGCAAGGTTATTAGCATGGTCTGCCACACCCTGACGATCATACCCAGCAGCTGAAACCTGGGGGAACCAAAAAACCATAAGATAGTGAAGACTAAAAAGACTAGTTTAGAAACTGGTTCATTGTCATAAAACTTGATCATCTCCAGTCATTTCAGTAATACACTATTAAATGCAAAAGACAAAGCTAACAACTTTTATACAGAGAATGAATTCTTCATAACAAAAATACCGTAAGAGATAGTGAAGAGTCTTCACAGAAGACCAGAAGGAAAAGTTTCTAAATTAGTTCAGTGTCATAATTCAACAAAACTTGGTCATCTCCATTCATTTCAGTGATACTATTAGTTTACCTTTCAGGCCACAGACAAAGCCAATAACTGTTTTACAGAGAAGTGAAATAGTTCACACATGAGTTTGGTAATACCTGAAGACCAAAGGACTTCATGTGATGCTCGTTCTGAAGCTCTCGCATTCTACCACTAACAGCAAGGAGAGCTTTAGAAGGCACACAACCTCTGTTAACGCAAGTTCCTCCAACAACATCTCCTTCAATGATGGCTGTTTTAAGTCCCTAAAAACAATACAATGGATCCATAAAAATAAAAGTGAACAATCGTAAAGAAACAGAGTAACTCATCTCTGTTTTTTTTTTCGCAAGAAGAGAGCATGTTTTATTACAGAACAGATCTCAGTTCTTATTACAGAAGCAAATGTACGAGATTAATTAATAAGATGATATAGAAAACAAGAAAATGTGATAGAAAGACAGGTTCGTTTCTAATTTCTAACTAAACAAAGTGTTCGGGATTCACAAAGCATTTTCTTAATCTGTTTTGTAATAAAAAGCTAGAAAATAAGTCACCTTTTCAACGGCGTGTAAGGCAGCTCCGTGGCCGCCAACACCAGCTCCGATGATGATCAGATCGTAATCGAAACTCTTGGGAGGAGCGCCATTACTGGAGCTAGCAGCCGAGACTTGGAATCTCCTGCTTGGGATTCGAACCCGGTCACTGCGCAGAGACAGATGATTCGAAGGCGAGGAGGAACCAAACGCCTCACGCCGGAGTCCGCAGAATCGGAGACTCCTGGGCGTAGAAAAGATGGAATTGGTTGATCCGAGGACGTGGTTGGGTCTGGTAAGGGGCGTTTGGGAGAAGGGGAGAGTGATAGCTGATTGCATTGTCAGAAAGTGAGATAGATCCGGAGAGAGAGAATATCGATCACAAGCACTTGCGGAGAGAGAGAAGTGGTGATCAGTGAAATATAAAACGGTGGCGGAGATATCAAGGCGGGTTTGTTTAACCACTTCCTTTTTCAAACATGCTTTATTTAATACTAGGCCCATTAGGCCCAATTCTAGGTCACATAGTTTCAGTAGGATCTCTAACAATATCTTTGTAGGTAAAGTGTTTGTATGAGATTATGAACTGTCCTTGATGTTCTTCAGTGACCGCTCTATGCCTATTCCCACTTTAGTTCTGAATTTGAGATCATAGGATAGTTCAGCTGCATGTAGATTATAATTTTATTTTAAATTATTGTACATTACAATGTCCAATCTAAGTTTGGCAAGTTTTGCCACTCTTAAAGCCTCAGGAATCTCCTTGTGTGAATGTGACATCTAAGCCTCGAGAGGATTCTCAATAACCTTATTAGTTTCAAACCAAGATACTCGTAACACATCCAAGTAGTGTCGCATAATGAGAAAGATCATAAGGTAACAAAGAGGCAAAAGCAGAGTTTCTCGTAACCACACAACACAACAACAGAGTTTGTCTTTCACACACATTAGAGAAATCTGACTCAAAAGCATTAGCTACTGTCCACCACGGCTCATCTCCCAAAACGCAACCTCGTGTTCAAGAACACGTACAAGAACATCTTCAGCTTCAGCCAAAGCTTCCCCAGAGGCATTCTCCAAACAACGCTCCGCAATGCTCTTCACAGATAAACAGTACTGTTTAAACCCGTCGTTACCCCACCGATTGCAAGCTCCGGTAAGCTCCGCTGGAGTTTTATTCCCCTCTTCTAAACAGTGAGCAAAGCTCTCTTGATACACCGCTTCAATCGCCCAGAAAGCCGTCATCACCACCGAATACTCCACCTCACTACTCATCATAGCTTCAAGAAACCTTGAAATAAACCACACAAAAAAACAGCTCATCTCTAACTTCAAGAATCTCTCAAAATCAAGAATTAAACAAAAATGAATACCTGCGATATTCTTGATTAGCTTTTTGAGCCACAACGGTCGAGAAGTCAACGCTCCATTTCGACCCTTCACTTTTAAACCACTCGATCTCATCATTCAACGAAGCTAAACCACCAAGAACCACTTCCATGTCGGAAGTCACGCCGGACTCTTTACAAGCTCTGATCAGAACATTCGCTACAAACGGCACGAACCCCCTCACGAAGAGGTAATCTTGCCCCTGCCACCAAAAACGAAGCCGTTTTTAAACTCACCGAGTGATGATTCTTTGGTTTCATCATTGATTTAATTCAACCGTACCAGCCAAGTTTTGAAGGAGGAGAGGTCAACGGATCCGTCGCGGATGGAGACGACGAAGTCATGACGTGTAGCCGCCGTGTATAACGAACGGTGCTTATCAAGCCACGTGTCGATCATTCCTCTCTTCTCCGGTTTCTCCATTGAAGTTGCCGCTTCCTTCTCTCAAGATTCTTCAACGATCATCCAGGTCCCCGCTTACGTTGACTTTTTAATCTGTAAGTCTCTTATTGGGCTTTAAAGTAATAGCTCAAAGCCTATTAGTCCAACTATACTTTTTTTTTCTTTTTGTAGTCCAACTATTAGGACTGAGCATTTTATTCGTTATTCGTCTCGATTCGATCTGAAAATTCTGGATATCCGTAAACTTTCGAATCAAATCATATACTAAAAATCAATATCCGTTAAAATCGAAGTAAATCACAAATATTAAAATTTTGGGAAGCGGATATCCGATTCGATCCAAAAATATATAAATACATGTATAAAACATGTAAACTCACTACTTCTTTATTTTTTATTTTATATATCATGCAAAAAAAAATTTACAAAATAAATTTATATCAAATTTTAAGATTATTTGTAATGGATGAAATATTCGTAAGTATTTGTAAATATCCGCAAATATCTATTTATTTTTCAGATATCTATTTTTCTGGATATTTGTATTTTTCCGAATCAAAACAAATACCAAAAATCAGATATCCGTAACATACGAAACAAATACCAAAATCAGATATCCGTAACATACGAAATAAATCACAAATACCTTCGAAAATCCGGATATCTGATTCGTGCCCACCGCTACTAACTATACCAAACGGCAATGAAGACACGACTGAAGGAGATTGATTATGTGGCAATTTCTCAACCTTTGCTGTCTGAAAGAGTGATGACGTGGAAAGTGTTTTATCGAATTATTTTTAAGTTGTCTTTATCACCGTAATTTAATCACCTCTCAAATGCGTGTTTAATTATTAAACGTGTTTAGGAGAACATATTTGAGGTGGCAATTCGCCATCAGAGGTCCTAGACTCCTAGTGATACTGAATTCGAGACTGGGATTTATCACATGAGGATTCAGCTGCCTGCAGACTAACCCTTCCAAATCTCCATCCTTCATGTTATTGACCGTAAGGATCTTACTCTCTTTTTTTTTTCACACATGTAGCTAGGAAACAGTTGATAGTATGTGTACAATGAATGTCTTTGCTTCTTTTTTTTCTTTTTGTTGTTCGTCAGCCTAGTAGTCGTTTTCAGACCAACACCAAGATTTGCTAGGGCATTTCAAATTACCATTTTGAGCATTGGCAACCTTTGTGGAGTGGTAAAAGACGTCTTGTGTAACCTTTGTTCCTCCGCATGTGATTGAGTATTTGAAATGGAGATTTGTTTATATGCTGTTCGGACTGCTTTGGCGGCTCTCATTGCCTCCCTTACTAGAAGTTGAAATCTGATTATATGGTATGTTCATAACTATTTTTCTTTTTGATATTAACACTGTACATTATCTCTACCTTGTTTACTTTATTGAGTTTCCGAATTTTTAAGTCTATAAATTTCAAGGTCAAGATTCACAAGAGAATGCAATATGTGACGTACGGTCAATATAGTGTCTGTGTTTGTTTTCTATATGTACTACAGAAACACGTTACTTTTGTGTGTATGCTCCAGAACGTGATCTCACATTTGTACCATAGGTTTTTTTACCTTTCAGTTTCTAGAGAAAAAGTTTTCTGCTTTGACTGCCCAAACACTAGAAACGTTATAAAAAAGTTACTGTAGATAAAATGGGGTTCAAATTTAAAAATAAAAGTTAGCAGTAGCTAGAGCTTTAGTTGATTATACAATAAATATTAAATAGTAATATAGTTTTAATGTTGGGGATTGTAGATAAGACAAAACGGAAGAATGGTACATTTGAAGTGTGTCCTTAATGCAACATCAGAGATTCTCAGGTACTAAAACTAGCATTCTGCTTTTGCGTGTCTGTGAAGTCAGTTTTTAACAGCTCTTGTGTCTTTTATGTTTGACTACAATTATAATGAAAAAAAGGTAAATCACTTTGAAATGGAATAACGAGAGTACGAGACATACTTTTCTCACTTTCATTACCAGAGAGAGCTACAGAAACAGCGGGAGAGAGAGAGAGAAGTGAAGAGGTTTTGAGGTTTAGAGAGAAGAAGAAGAAGAAGTGTTGAAGGAGAGACAGAGAGATGGGGTGGAACCGTGGTTTTGGTCGAGTCAAGGAAGAAAGAAAGAACTTGAGTTTCTTCAAGATATTCCAGAGTGCAGATTTATCTTCTGAATCCATGGTAACTTTGCTCTAAACCTCTTCTTGTCCTTAGTTTTGCGAGTTTCTTGATAACTCTGTTTCAAAAGCAGAGTTTTTCCCTTTGTGTTTAGTGTGTTTCAAGTTAAAGATTCAGTCTTTGTGGGTGTTTTTGAAACTGTTAGATCTCTCTTTACGTTGCTTTGTCTTGTTGAAGAAATGCCTTTGTTCACTCTTTACTTTAGGGTTCAAGTTAGTGTTGCTTCTCTCTCATGCTCAGATCTTTGATTCTCTGCTTTTCTCCATTTCTTGTTCCGTTTGTGATAAGAACATAACACCTTGAGGATTATAGGGGAAACGTTAAAACTTTAGCCTTCAAGAACAAAAAAAAGTTATCTGTTTTTACATTCTCTTCATTGCATGTTTCAAAACACAGTTTTTCTCTTGTGTTTAGTTTGTTTTAAGTTAAAGATTCAATCTTTTGGGTGTCTTTGAAACTGTTGGATCTTTTAGTCATTTAGTCATTAAGCTTACTTTTTTCACGAACTTGATGCTTATATTATAGGTGAAAGGTTGAAACTTTAGCTTTTCAAATATTTGATATAACTTGACAAGAATCTTAACTGTTGATTACATCCTTTTCATTGCATGTTCAAAATCAGAGAGCGTTGCCTTACACATTCATGAAAAACGTCTCTAAGGAAGACTTCTCATACAAGATGGTGATAAGAGCGAAGTGGGGAAGCTCATGGGAAGTAGACATCTCCATGAACCCGAGGTTCTACTACATGGAGAAGTCTGGTTGGAACCAGTTTGTGAGCGACAATGCTTTGGGAGAAAACGAGTTTGTGACTTTCACTCACAAGGGACTAATGTGCTTTGATGTCAACATCTACGGTCTGAGTGGCAAGGAGATTGCTGTACCTCGAAAACCCCAGACAGCCACTCCATTTAGTAAAAGAAGCTTTGCATAATATTTAATGAAACAAATGAGATTAATGAAGAACTTAACTCGTTACAATGATGATGTAAAACAGGTAAGATCAAGAAAGAAGAAGATGAGAGCTGCCACAAAGATGTTAAGAAGGAAGATGAAACAGGAGAGTCCATGAGAGGAGTTGAGTTTGAAGAGAGAAAGAGGAAGAAGAGCAAGAAAGTGGAGATAGGTGAATCTTCAAGAGGAGCTGCGCTCAAGAAGAAGAAAGCTGAGAAGGCTAAACCATCCAAGAAGAAGATCAAGATCAAGAGAAGGAAAGTGAAGAATGGTGTTCCGGAATTTAAGATCACCATAAGGAACTCATACCTCAAGTTCCTGGTAAGATCAAAGACTCAACATTATACACTTCACAGTCTCTGTATTGGTTTAATATGTGAGTCTTTGATATTTGTTTTATCAGGCAATCCCGAAGATGTTTGAGGACGTGTACATTCCGGATGAGTCTAGGAGGTACATGATACATCACTCGGAAGGAAAGGGTTCATGGGAGGTGCTTTGCTTGGTGAGGAACACTAGGACAATCTTCTCTAGTGGATGGAGCAAGCTGGCACGAGAGTTTCCTTTATCGGTTGGTGATAGGTGTACTTTCCATCTCGTCAAACCTAATGAGTTTGTCCTCACCTCCAAGAAGGCCAGAGATGAGATCACTGTGATCGATTGATGGACGAATGTTTTAAGTTTCTTGCAGCTTTCTTTTATCTATGGAGACAATATGGTATTACTTTAGCTTATGTGTGGTGTTTATGTGTGTGTACTGTTTATGTTCCCTAGACTTTTAACTTGCTTTTTCTCTGTTTATGAAGTTAGTCTTGAGACTTTAACTTGCTTAGTCTGTTTATGAGTTTAGGCTTGAGGTTATGTGAAGCAATGTTTTGGTTCAATGATCAATATAGGTAGTTAAAAACCAATGACATGATTGACAAGAGCAAATCATTTGGTTATTATAAAGATGCACAACATAAACAACATACAAGTCACACAAGATTTAAGAATACAAATTCAGACACAACAAAGCACAATATAAACCGGTTAGATGACGTGAAGGTCAAGATAAGCTCAGTGGTGAGCCTTCACGACGGTTACAGGGCATGCCACATTGTTCACAACATGGTTGCTAACACTTCCCATTATCATCCTGCCAAGATAAAGAAAGATTCTTCAATAAGTGTTCTTTATTTACATTTCAACTCAAAATTTCAGATCATGAAAAAGCTGGAGAAAGAGGAGGAATCTTTTAACCTCTGAAGGCCACCAAGGCCTCGGTTACCGATGACAAGGCTTGAGAGAGGAATGTGTTCAACAGCTTCACATATCTTCTCACGAGGATCTCCCCAATATATCTTCATCACTACTGTAATCTGCATCATGTTTCACAACAAAGATGCTCTTCACTTAACAGAAACCACATTAACACTTGTCATAAAAGAAGGTTTCATTCATATGGATTGATATGTTTTTTTCTTGGTCACAAACTCGCAAGGTCACAAAAGGCTTTGCATGAATATTATGCATGGATATTATGGACTATTTTTGCAACTATATTATATTTAACCAAAAAGGGAAACAAGAAGCTTACAGATTTCTTCCTAGCGGCAGTGTTGGCAATGTCAAGGGTTTCAGCATCTGGCTTCACTGCATACTTCTTCATCACGGCAGCTTCAGAGAATTCACTCAGAGGAAGCAGAGCTGAAATGTTAACATAAAAACAGAATCCAACCGTTAATATATGACCATGAGCAACTATCTTCATATATCATGTTCATTTCAAACGATGCATGGGTAAGTTCAAGTTCCTTCAACATGCACATAGAATCTTGCTAGAACATATAAAGGCTATGAGTTTGTGCAGGGATGAATCAACCGTACGTGATCCAACAGCCTCCCAGAGCTGCATCTCTCCTTCCTCGTAATGCATGTCGTGAGCCACGGTGAGGAGGATTAGATGATCACCATCGCGAACGAGGTTGTCAATGGCCCATTTCAGAGCTTTCTTGCTGCACTCCGAGAAATCCACCGCTACTCCGATCTTCCGACCACCACTCTCCGCCATATTCTCTCTCTTTATGAATATATTTTCACAACGAAAGCTCGGTTCTTTTTTAAGGTCTCTCGAAGACAAATCTGGTGGGAAAGGACTATAAATCCTCCGTACCTCTGCTCTATGATCTGTTATAAATTCTGACCGTTGGATTGATTAGAAGACGATCACAATTCACAGCCTTGGAATTAAAACAGTAAATATCTTACAGAGAAAATAACGGACAAAAAGAAGTCTGGGCCCACGGATACGAAAAGCAATCAGATTCAGACATCAAGCTAGCCACGTCCTTAATAAGTCAATCAGATTTTTTCTTGTTCTTTTTTTAAGTCATGACAACAACTTGAACAAAATGTTTAAAAATAGATTCTTTTTAGAGATGGTTTTTAAAAATTGGGTTCTAATTTTAACAATACTATTCATTATTTGGAGGGTCTCGCGACTTTTGATCCAGCATTTTTTTTTTTTTGCACTGACTGATCCTGCATTAATGTTCCAGTTTTACGTGATGATGATGATTCTTCGTCTATGAAATGGCGACAAATTAAATGTTGTGATAATCTACTAATCTAGTGTTGGTGTTTGTGACCAAGTGTTAACCTTCCCAACGACATGGTAATCATTAGAAAAAATGAATGAAACGATTTAATACCAGTAAAGTGAAGCCTAGTCCATATCCAGTGGTGTCCTCAAATTTCCAAAGAAAAGAGCACTCTTGTGGTATTTGGAACACAAAAGATATCTGTTACAACGCAATAGAGACTGATCCCAGTGGATTTACAGATTTGTAGTTTTTGGAATAAAAAAGATATTTTGAAATTATAGACGTCTACTGACAGACAATATGGAAAATTGCAAGGGTGATTAGGCAATTTGCGGTAAAGAATACCACTGGTGGAAGATCCGGCCACGTTGTAATCGTACTTGCATGGCTTAGCTGAATTGGATTTCCTGGACACGTGGTGACCTTGGTGTAGAACTGTAAATCTCTGAGGGCGATTCTTAGCCAAAGAACCAGTACACTCAATGGGGATAGGTGCGTGATTAAGTTCGAAGTCACCCCATTCGTATCTCGTCGCAAATAAGACCAAATACATAGTTGCATCAATGATCACTAGCTCGTAGTTCTTCATAAATTTTCTGTGTAATTATAGCGATGTTTGTTTGGTTACCGCCACTTTATGCGGCTGCGGTTAAGTCTACGGCTGCGGCTGTTTATTTGATTATTGTTCGTTTTATAGACGCAGCCGCAGACTTTTGTTCGTTTCATAGCCGCAAAACATAGACGCAGACGCAGACGCAGCCGCAGCCGCAGCCGCAGGAAAATGATTTATGGCGTTTGGCAGACGTTGCAGCTATTTTTATTTAATTTATATTTTAATTTTAAAAATTTGTAAAATTGTATTTTAAATAAATAAAATGTTATTTAAAATTTTCAAGTTTTATATTAATTAAAGAAAATGCAGTTTAAATATTTACATCCATCAAAATATTATAATAACAACATTTTTAACAACAATATTATATTAACAATCAAAACTGCATCAAAATAAAATGCAATTTTTAGTCAAATATATAAATTTAACAACATTTTTTTCTCATAAATATCTTTATTAATAAAGTAGACTTTTTTTCTACGAGGGGCAAAAGTTGACACTTGTCCTTTTATAATTTGTTGAATAAATTTTAAATCCAATTCTAAATATCTTTTATTTTACTTAGATTTTAGTTGATTTTTATATTAGGCCCAATTATATGAATCTTTTATTTCATATCATCTCATTTATATATCTAACTTTAATACTATTTAAAATAGTTTCTATATATTTTATACTGTTTTACATTTATAATATTTAATTTTCATTAAAATATTATTTATAGGATAAATATAAAAAATAATAAAAGGCACGATTTTAGCCACAATATTTTTAATTTTAAAGCATTTTGTTTATTGTGATATTGTTGAAACCTACAAAATAAATATAGTGTTGATTTTATTTTATTGATGTCTAACTCTTTGTTAATTATAATTATTTTAAGAAATGACGTAATAATTATAAAATACATAATTATTTAAAGTTAGAGTTATTTAGTATTTCAGTGATATTGATTTGTATTTTGTATTTTTTCTATAGTTCACAGGAAACCGTTTCGTTCTAAATGGATCTCTTATAACATTACACCAAAAATTACTTAGCATAACAACAGATGTGACAAAAAAACACGTTAATAAACAAACAAATGATTCACAACAAAAATATGGTTACATGAAAATCAAGGTATGGAAACATATATAGTAAACCAACAACATAACTATGGCGTAAACTACATTCACATGAAATATAGTATCCAGCTTCAAATGGACAATAAGCCAAACTTAGCATAAATAAATAAAGTTGTTTTCATCTCATATCACTCCTTCATCAGTCATCTCAAATCGCCTACAAACAAAATTTCAAAATTCACATGCAATTTACTCCTACATTAAACAAAATTAAGACTATTACCACTTACCACTAACAAAACAACCATAACTGAAGTAAACAAAGGAAAATGTAAATGATATAAATGATTATCTTTCTTTGGAACATGATATTAATCTTTTTCACTACACACTCAAATATCTCGAGAACTTATTATTTTCTCTTCGGCATATCCAACAACGAAAACCAGACGACTGTAAAATTATAGAAGTACAAATCTATTGGCCTAAAATTAAACTATAATTAGAAAATTTTAACAAATTTATAATTCAAAATCATCAATAAAACAACTAAAGATAAACGTTGGAAATATAGAAACAGAAACCTCTCATTTCTACTAAGGCACTTTTAAAGATATAGTATCTTAATGCATAATGCAATATTCCCTAGAACAAATGACTAATTTACTATTTAGTATAAACAACTATATATCTTAATGAACAACAAAAAGTCATAAATATTATCATAAATCAAGTCTTAAATAAATAAAACAAAGTCTTAAACCAAATAATATTTAATATGGTAAACGACCTCTACCATATTCATTTGTGATGTTCTTACGCAATTCTTCCATCACTGCATCACGAGTCGGCTCATATGAAGTACTAGCTTCTTCTTGTTCTTCACCATTACCATCAGTTTCTTCTCTTCCTCCATCATCAACACTTTGCCATTGTACAAAATCACGATCTTCTCGATGTGAATCACGTATGAGGTTGTGTAGTGTCATTGTCGCTGTTACCAACTTAATCCATTTGGATAGTTCATACTTTGGATGCTTACGATCCAAACACCTCCATTTTGCTTTCTATACTCCAAATGTCCTCTCAATCACTGATCATAGACCTGAATGCTTTCGGTTGAACAACTCTCTTGCACTAACTGGTGGTCCTCCTCTAGCAAACTGACCAAGATGATATCGCATACTAGGATGCGGACCAAGATACCATGTCCTAGTTGGATATCCAGAGTCAACTAGATAATACTTTCTAGGAGGAGGACGTGGGAAAGAAGCTTCATTTCTCGCACAATGAGTCAAAACCTTTGTATCATGTGCTATACTAGGGACACCGAGATATTTATATATGAACTTCATATCGAAGTTACATATAGCAAGAACATTCATTGTAGGATCTTGCTTTCTACCTCTAAATGCTTCTGCTTTTTTAGGAGGAGGACGAACCGGGACATGAGTTCCATCAAGTGCTCCAATACAATCTCTGAAATAAGGCCAATACCTATGATCACTCCTTAAAACATGATCTACTCTTGCAAACTCGCCTTCTTGTGGTTTTAATGTATCCTTTGCAAACTCTAGAAGAGAACTCAAAACTTCATCAAGCTTCCTTTGTACCGTATCTAATGATCTTTGATACCTTTCAGCAATATCCCGCTTCGTCTTATCCTGACCAACAACCTCGAGAAACATCGCAACTGATTCCTGGATGTACACATTGTGAGACTCTTTCAATCCATACTGCTCAGTTAGCATCTTACACAAAGCTTCAAAAGTCCTTTGATTCATTCGAAGAATGTCATAGCATTGCTGATCTGATGCATACATGAGTTGTGGAACATGACGCCAACCTACTCCTCGATATGTTCTTTGACTCAATCTCTCAGTAATAGCCACATCAAACAAACCAAGTTCATCATCATAATCACCATCCTCATCTTCCAATATCCATCTTTTAAGCATCTACAAAACCATAAAAAAATTGTTTTATTAATTATTTAACAACACATATAAGCTGCATACTATATTAAAGACAAAGCACGTTTCATTTATATTAAGACACCGAAGTCATTCAAACATAAATACATCAAATATCAGCTGCATGCTAGCTATATTAAAACACAAAACACGTGCATGCTAGCTATATTAAAACACAAAACACGTTTCATTTATATTAAGACACCAAAGTCATTCAAACATAAAGACATCAAATATCAGCCGCATGCTAGCTATATTAAGGCACAAAACAAGTTCCAGCAAGATCACAAAAGGGTTCCAGCAAGACCAAACTAGTCAAGCATCACGTTTTATCTTGGTCCTAAGCTCTAGAAACTTAATCTTAGCTTCATCTGTCTTCATTGTTATAAAGCCCCTTCGGTTCCCTTCACTCTCTATGAAGAGTTCAATGGCTGCTTCATATAATGGAGACCACTCTCTCACTTCAGGCAGTGCATACAATAACTCTAACACATTCTCAACACTAAAGGCTTCTTCACGCTCCAACATCCGTTCTGCTATCCTATTATTCACCTCAATTGCTGCAGTCCGTTTGTCACAAGTTTTTACAACCGCATCTTTCTCTTTACGCCTTATTTTGGCCCTTGAACTTCCGGAGTGAGTTTGAGCCGCTTTCTCCATCCACTCTTGAATCCAAACTTGCTTCACCATGTTGAGCGCTCCATTCTTCTGCTCCAGTTACTATTACACCACGAATCACTTCTTCAAAAACATCCATATTAAATTCCTCTTTCCATACAGATCTTCTAATCCCAGGGCACTCCTATAAATAGAAA